AGTACATATAGATTTAGAATAGTAGTTATATTTTAATGATCGAAATACCAAAAAATCGGACAAAAAATTGAGCCGAACCGAAACCCGATATCCGGATTGAGCACCTTTAATCCGAATGAAACCGAACTATTGTTTCATTTTTCAAAACATAATAAAAATAATAGCTTCATCCCGCGCAAGGCGCGGGTCTTATCCTAGTTAAATACTAAACCATAAACTTTAATTATTAAATCGTAAGCCTAAATATATTTATTTTGTATCCTTTAATGAATGTGCTATTTTTTTTGGAAAGAACTTGATTTAAGTGCTATTTAAAAGTATTTCTCTATTTTTAAATATTACTTGTGCTTCAAGAGACAAAGAAAGAGTCTTTATATGTATTACCGTTTGAGAAGATCTTTGGGAAGAGCCTGATCAGTGAAAACCCAACTCTTATAAATGGAAGAAGACATCTCCATGGCGTAACGACTAGGGAACACCGTCCTCTCCAGAACTCCATCAGAGTTTATGAGGACATGTCGCGCCAATGCGTTGATATTCATCGTGTCACGGAAATGAGGATGAAGAAGCTTATAGATCGGATGAACCACACTGAGTTGCCTATTCGACGCGATTATGAACGGTTCAATCACCGCATGCGTCTGCAACCTACAAAAATAAGAAAACAACCGGTTATTTAAAACCAAACTCAAGTCTCAGAGATACTAGGTTTTGTTTTTTTATAGTGTCAGCATTTTGTTACCAGTGGCTTATAAGTTGGTGATAACCGGAGTCATTAACCGCGGCGTAAGCCTTAGCAAGCTGCCAAACCGATCCCTCAACGCCTTTCTCTGATGGTGTGAAAACTTTGCTCACTGATCCGTGTGATTCACCTTGTGCGTGTGGAAGACTCAGCTCTATGGCTACAGGCTTCAGTGTTCCGTCTTCTTGAAGCAACAGAAGCGTTCGGGTCGCATAGGTTTTAGTGTTTGTTGAGTTTATCCGTGTCAAGTATGGCATCAATGCGTCATGGTGATCTAATATGTATAGCTTGTTCTGTTCCAAAGCCTTTTTATATAACACAAAACAAAACAAATAACAGTTATGATGTGAGGATGCAGCTGTTACTTGTTAAACAAGAAAGGTGTGTAGGATACATACTTCTTGGACATTTATACCGTTCATGTGTGGTTCTATGTGCTCTTCTCGTATAGAACTGTGTTGGTGTCCATACTTTGCTGAGTCTAGATTGCTCTTTGGAGGAAACTCCTGCAATTTATTTTTTGTATATTTGGTTATAATTTCTACCATTTTTGGGAAATTGAAAGAATAAAATTGAGTTATTAGATGAAAGTTTAACCTTGAGACGACTTATCACCACTGGATTAAGTCCAGCAAGCATTTCTCTAGCAAACTCTTCATCGGTTCTCCAAGCTGATCTACTTTCTGTAACAACATACACAATCATCTATATGTCAAAATCTGTATCCATCTTTGGTTAGTCTCTAAACTATTTATTTAACTAGACTATGTAGAGGTTACGTTTGATGACGTCAGGCAAGGGGAACTTCAAGAACCGTTCTCCATCATTGCGCACGAGCTCACGAAACATCTCCCATGGGATAACATCACGTAGCTTTGAAATAGTGTGACCATTAGCGAGCTTAATACTACCATCATAGAGGTGAAAAACGTCTTCGAACGAGTCAAACTCGTTGATGGTTTTGTCACAAAGAGAGGCTATTTCAGGGACGAGCACTTGAGTCACCGACTTGAGTGCGTACGCGAGAAAATCAGAGAACTTCACGTGGCTAAACCGTTCGTCCCTCGGCACGTAGATGTTTAGGTTTAGTAATGCAAGCCTGCTCTCTGACTTAGGGTCTGATAAAGAAACGGTGACGTATATGTCAAGTAACCATTGGGTTTTGCAATATAAGTGATGGTTTTGAATGTTGAGTTGACTAACCGGTTTTGGTGGGTTTACGGCCGGTCTTACCACGGCGAGGATAAGGGAACTCAGGTGAACCGCCGAGAACCGGACGGGCTGAGTCAGGACCTTTGTCCGGAGCACCTAAGTCGTTGTAATAAGCGTAGTCGTAGACTCTGTCCCATTCTTTGAGTTCTCCTCCTTTCTCATTTCCTCTTAGATTCTTTAGCTCTTCTTCTCTTAGCTCCTTGACTAGCTCCGGCGTTTCGCTTGGAAGATAAGCCTTTTGTATTTACATACAAAAATATATAGAAAAGAAATATATTAATAAAGAATTTCAATACTTTTTATAGTTTAAATTTGACCCAAAAAAAAGAAAAACTTTTATAGTTGTCCCTAGTTAGTTATACAAAAGATTCTCTTAATTAGAAAAATAATTGCAATAAAGGGAGAGGATGACTTGTAAAGATAGACATGTAAGGTCCGGTTTCATTATTTGGTACAATGTGTTACACACGGACACGAATATTCCAAAACTCAAAATTACAATAAGAATAAATAACTCTAAAGATTATGTCATATGGATTATGATTATGCTTCATATATTTTATAAAACCACTAACCAACCAGTACCCATTAAATTATACTCTAACAGTTAAATTATTAATTAGTCACCTCTATTATTCCAGACTAAAATAAAACCAAACAGAAAAAAATTCTCAAGATTAGAAATACTCTGACTGGGGTCAATGAATAATTTTGACAACTTTTGCACATGGACAATCAGAGAAAAATCCAGATTAGTTATATAAAATGCCAAATAGAATACTATCATTTAGTACCTTGGTCGAAACAGTGCATTATTATTACTAACCCCACTTGTGACTTGTCCCAAATTCGTTTATAGCGGTTTACCTTGTTGGAGAAGAAAACGCGGCCGGAGCGGTATCTATGGCTCGGATAGATCCAAGAATTGCAAACAAAGTGTATGGGACCGCCTTCACCGCCGGGGAAATTTCGAAGGGTGAGGGACTTAAGGTAGAATTGGCTACGGTGGTGGTTCTTGATCACAAACGCAGCCGGTGGTCCCATTGACTCGTCCCAATCAAACGTCACTCCAAACGCGGTTTCCTCTGCGGTTACTGACGTTTTTATCTTTGTCACCCATTTTTCCAGATGTGCTGCTTTTCCAAGTCTTCCTCTCTTCTCATTGGCTGGTTTATATTATACAAAAAAAGGGATTACTTTCTTTAAAATAAAACAAGAAACAAAATATGTACACTCAGAAACAACAGTGATATGTAATTATGTAAATGTAAAATGGGTCGAGTTAAGGAATGAATGGATACCCGGGTCGGGTTGGAGAGAGCTGATGAGGTGGAGAGAGACACGTCGACCAAGAAGCTCATGGATTCGATCAAGAAGAGAAGCCATGGTGTCTTTGAAGTCGAGAAGGTTCTTTTTCATTACAACCACTTCTCCTTCTATCTTGATCGTCTTCTTGGTCTTCACATCTTCCTCCATTGTCTTTGTCTTCTTCTTCGTCTTGGGTTTGACGCATAAGATCTCTGCGATGTCGGTGTGGATCATGGCGATATATATATTGCAGAATTTTCTCTGAGTGAGAATGAAGAAAAGGGAGAGAGAGAGGAAAAGATTCTATGCTTGGAGAAAGACGAGAGAAATGTGTGATTATAGAATGTTCTCTTTCATTTTCTTTGCATATATATAACTATACGATAACACATATCTGATGTGAATGTGATATTATTTTGTACACTGGTGGCAAAATTTAAAGAAAATAAAATATCGGTGGCTAAACAAGAAGCAAAAAATATTGCCAACATCAGTTTTTATTTTATTTTATTTATTAGGCATAAAATATTGATATATTGCAGATAACTAATAGTTTTGAAATTAATTAGTGCACACATTCCTCTCCTTAATATGAACAAATGTTTATAATCAGCCACAAATTAACTGATTTTTAAAATGTTAAAAAAATAAAGTTAAAAATATATTAACAAAGTTTTCTATAATACAGGGAAAATAGTGTTCTTTTTTTAGTATTACTAGTTATATATATATATATTAATACATGTACTTACGTGTGAAGATTGGATGTCCATTTCCTAAGTCAATGTCTTCAAAAAATTATTTTTATTTTTCAGATTGAGTTGTCTTCTACCTACATTCTTCCTAATATGATGATAAACTTTTATATTTTATGGGGTGAGCCTGGCAGAAAATAAAGCAGCCATCCGAATCTTTTCTGACGGCGTGACTATAATTTAAAAATAAAATTATCTTCTTATAATGTTAAAAAAAAATGTTACAAAGATACTGAGATTTTAATTTGTAACTAGATTTATACGAAAATATTTGAAATTATATAATAAAATTTATCAATAAATAAGTATAATTTGATTATTTATGCTATCCAATTTATAATCATTTTTATTTGACTTATAATATTATTAATATAAAATTTATAAATTTGTATTTTTGTAATAATTTAATTATTATGTAAGATTACTAATTTATATATTTTGTTTTATTTCTAAATTTAAAATCTATGTAAAAATTAATTAAGTTGGGCTGACATAATACATAAACAAAATTTTGGGATATTGTTAAAAGTGTTTTACATAATTTCAATTTTTTGTTTATAAATTAAAAATGAATTAAAATTTTATTTATATTTCATGATATTAAGATTTTAATCAAATAATTTTTGAAACTATATCTTGAAAAAGATTCTAAAAGATTTTGTTAGAATTTTCTTAAAACTATTTATTAGTATTTCAAACAAAAAATTAAAGATATTATAATATTATGTAAAATTTTATAAAACTTTAAGATAGTCCAAACTAAAATATCACACATGAAGTGAGTCATGACTTCTCTTTTAATATAATAGATATATTGACCTCATTTTACTCTTTTAAATTAAGGGTTTCGTTTATTTTTTCTAATTTTTTTAACTATTATGATTTCGTTTCAAACAATAGTATGCATTTCGCAGAATTTAAAGGATAAATTACAATTTTTTTTTTGACGTTGTGATCTTGAGGTGGTTTTACCTTAGCTAGCTGATCAGTGTGATGTTTAAACCAGGATCAGGGAGCCTAGTTGAAACAAAAATAATGTTTGTATAAACCATGTCTTGGTTGAAGTATCATCATCCGGGGACGGCGATGAGAATTTTGATCCTAATGAAATGTATATAAGGCGTATAGCTATTTTAAAATATACTGGCAATAGGCACCATTTGCTAATAATATAGAGTTATGGATAGAAATTGCCACACCTCAGACAAAGCACGAAACTTACCACTGTTTCAAACAAAGACTTCAAGCCTGGTGAGGCTCTACCTCAGACAAACGACGCTGCTTTTCTCCTCCATACTGATGCTGCCTGGAATGGTTCGTCATGTGAGTGTGGTTTAGGATGGGTTTGTACTGACCCCGCTGGAATTATAAGATTCACAGGCTCTGCTTCGAGGAAGGTAGTCGCGTCGGCACTAGTGGCGGAGGCGCTGGCTCTCAAGGAAGCTCTGAAAGAGGCTGTGAACTCTGGTATAAAGGACATAATCTGTTACTCAGATTCGAAGTGTCTAATCTCTCTTATCACTGGAGACAAGTCGGTGATCGCATTAAAGGGTATCCTCCATGACCTTGGCGTGTTGAGTGAATCCCTAAACTCTATCTCTTTTGTGTTTGTTTCTCGTCGTCTTAATGAAGCAGCCGATCGGCTTGCAAAGGATGCTCTGTTTGAGTTATCACTTTTATCCCCTGCTCTTGTAAACTCTGGTTCTGAGAACCGTTAATGATAATATGAAGTATGGTTTGAACAAAAAAAAGGATAGAAATTGCCACACGAATTGCTGACTGTCGTAGTTGTAGCAGCCAGCTTGAATCAACTTTAAACTACCCTTATACTTTTGTTTCACAAGATGATTATACATAATTACCCTACAATATATCCATACGTATATACTTCTTTATAAAAATTAAAGTTATATGTAGATATAGACCATTATCTATTTCTCTGTTTTTGCTCAAATGTATTTCAATATTTCTTTTGCTTATACGTTTACGTTTGTTTTAATAATTCATTAATCAATGATGCATGTAACATCGACACCCACCTGTAAGCTTAGCCCAAAAATCATAAACAAGAAAAATACCTAGAAACGAAGAGTAGCAAGAATACAGTGAGAGGTTTTTAATTTATTCAATAATACAAAGATATATATATTAAAATAAAACAAAACAAGTTTTATTTTTAAAATATGCTACTATTTTAATTGATTTTCACATATACTATTTTAATTAAAGATATAGCTTAAAATATCACAAATATACAACGAATACGAAACATATATCTATAACATTATTTGAGAAATAAATTTGTTTAGTTGTCAACTTCTCCATGATTTTAGGTTTTTCTTATTTTCATGTTTTAATAATTTATTATATAATAAAAACAAATTTATTTTAATAATATTATATTTTTAGAAAATATGTTAATTCTTTTGTATTAGATTGTTATCTTAAAATTATATGAGAAGTAAATTTGCTTAGTTGTCAACTTCTCCATGATTTTAGGTTTTTCTTATTTTCATGTTTTAATAATTTATTATATAATAAAAACAAATTTATGTTAATAATATTATATATTTAGAAAATATGTTCATTCTTTTGTATTAGATTGTTATCTTAAAATTATATATTTTTCATCTATAACATTATTTGAGAAGTAAATTTGCTTGGTTGTCAACTTCTCCATGATTTTAGGTTATTTTGCTTATTTTCATGTTTTAATAATTTATTATAAAATAAAAACGAATTTATGTTAATAATATTATATTTTTAGAAAATATGTTAATTCTTTTGTATTAGATTATTATCTTAAAAATGTATTTTCAATTATAAAATTTAAGTGAATTTGCTGATTACTTTGTAACTCTCACGTTGAAACTTAGAGCGGTTAATATCGTTTAAAAATAAATAAATAAAGAATTTCAATGATTTTAGATTTATCTTTATCTAAAACTATTTTATATTGATTATAAAGTCTTTATTAACCTTGAAAAACAATTATATTAGTTAATATATAATTAATTATAAATTAAAAACAAATTTCATTTATTTGATAATTATCCTTATTTTAATTTTTTTATATTATGGGATAAAGTCTTTATTTTGAAAAATAATTATATTTGTTAACATATAATTAATCCTAAATTAAAAAATGAATCTCATGAATTTGATAATTATCTTTACCTAACTTTTTTATATTGTGTTATAAAGTCTTTATTAACGTTGAAAACTAATTCTATTTGTTAATATATAGTTAATTATGAAAAATCAATTTTCAAAGAATTTATGTATAGATAATTTATATTGTGTTATCCAAAACATTATTAAAGATAATTTTTATACTTTTTTGTTATGTCTAAAAATGCTATTAATTTATTACTAAATGTTTTATATGATGATGAAAAATTTTATATATAAAAAGAATTTGTTTAGTTTATTATTAAATATTTTGAGTCTATGAACTATAATTTATTATAATTTACATAAATTGATTATATATTTATTTATAGATATTAGTAAAATTATTAAGCCCGCAAGTGCGGGCAAAACACCTAGTAGTGTACATATATCGCTTTTCGAAACTTACATATATCATTTTGATCCTTAGTTAATGCTGGATTAAAGATACTTCAGGCTTCCGCAACTAGAATACACAGTTTATAGTTATACTAGTGGTGTGCCGGCGCTACGCGCCGGATTCATATATGTTATTATAAAAAAAATTGTGATTTATTTTGTGGTTTTAGTGAAGAGATTATGTTCAGCAATTTGATGTTGTAACTATGTTGAAGACAATGATCTTTTCTGATTATTAGTGGAGTAGCATAAGTGGTTGTTATTAATCGAAACAAATAAAAGTAGAGTAAAAATTTGATAGACTTTACAAAGTTAATTTAGTAAATATTTAAACATAAAGTAAAGGTCATGTTTTTGAATGAAAAATGTAAATAGTTGTGTTTGTTTTGTGATTAAGTTGTTTCAAGGAATATAATCTATAGTTTCGTCCTCTTAAAATAGTAACAATTCTAGACTGTTCGTTTATATCTTATGCACAAAATAGTAACAATCCTAGACTGATCGTTTATATCTTAAACGCCACCATTCTTGTGACCGTTAAGATCAAGTCCCGTGAGCATATGTAGATAATCAGAGATACAAAAGGCGAACTTAAACCCTAATGCTTCAAACATAGCTTCCATATGCTCAATATCCTCTGCCGTTGGTCCACCGTCAGGTGCAGTGTTTTCAGAGAACGTTCTTGTCCCGAACATAAGTTTCTTGATAGCATTGCCGCAGTAGTGTATCAAAGAAATCTAATCGGATATCCAAAGTACTTGAACCTCTTAATCTTATTCCAGCAGCGATCGGATTTTGATAGTGTGGGTTCCTAGTCAAGGATATCAAAGAAATATTTTCCTTCTTTGAGGTTTCCTCTGCACAACATTACTAAACCACAAAGATACATACCCTTATCGTATTTTCCATAAGCAGATTGACACATGTGAGGTGATTGAGTGCTTTGATTGATTTGTGGTGGAAGAAGTACTGATTTATTCCCTCACTATTAAGATGAGCTTTAGCTGATAGGTGTCCGATAGAGGGGGGAGGGGGGGGGGGCTGGTGTGCA